GGAAAAATTGAAATTGAATCTCTCCTTGCATCATGCTGAGTAAGAGGCCTATTTGGCAAGAAACTGTCATATTAAATCCTTGTTGGACTTCCAGACCCCTTTTGATTCCTAAATCTTTTGGTGTAGACTAATCTAAAATCAAAACGATTCAGGGGCCTGCATGCCAGAAGCAGTCACATTTGTAAAAGCTCAATGAACCTGCAGAAGAAGGTTGAATGTTACTGCCTTACTACAAAGCTTGTGGCCAATATACCTGCTGGTTTGCTTTTTTTGCTTAGACTCATAATGTCATGCTGTACCTCCTTTGCTTTGTGCAGAAGTGACTACAAAACAATGTACAAAAAAAAATCTGAACTCCTTCCGGTTAAATACACCTGTAACTAGCAAGTACAAACAAGGAACTAACTCCCAGGTTTAAAAGGCAATACTAATTATATTTTGGAAATTGTGTTCATGTACAGTAATTGGTTTTCTTTTCTGATTATGCGCCTTAGAAGACAAAGTCTTGCAAAACAGACGACTATGTGCCAAAAATAATTCTCACTAGTTGTCCAGCAAGTTTTATGCCGTAACATTTCATGTCCTCCTGGCCTTCCTCCAGGGTTTTTTTTTTTCTGTCGTTTTAGTGTTTATATAATCCAGAACCTTTGAATTGCCACCGCTGGAGATCATCCGTCTCCACAGTTACATCTGACGGCTTACATAATGAAAAATTCTTTATAGAACAGAAAGACACAATCAGCTTGGGTGTTGTTGTGTTACTTTTAAGCAACTTATAAACCCAACTCTGCTGAAAACCAAGCTTGCCCCCCCATTTCTTGTTGATTTTGGTTCTGTCCCTCTGCTCCCTCATCACTACCGAAAGGTGCAGCTGCCAGCTAGTGGGGTATCTTTGGCAGAAATGTCTCAGATAGCACTTACAGAGTACTGGTTAGACCTTGCCTGTGCTGCTGTCTCTCAACAGTGGAAGAAAGACTTCTATCTCCATTTTGCTCAGGATGGGAGGAAAACTACCTCACTATCATCTGCTGACCAGGCCTTTTCTTCCTCAGCTATCACCACTATGCTGTTAAGAAAAATTTTGTGAAGCATCTCTTGGCTTTCCGTTGGATTTGATCAGATCTTGGGAAAAGTTCATATATATATATATATATTTGGACTATACTGTATCTCCCAAAATCCTTTAGTCAACATGTCCACAGGGAGTTGTAATCTAAAAAGTATCTTCAAGTGCTGCATTCAGTTAATACTCATTCTACTCAGCAATACAACCTGGTTGGGGGGGGGGGGCAGTTAAACTTTCTGTCACCACAGTGTCCCGTTATTCTGCCTGCATATGTGAATGTGCATGCATGATATTGTTTAATCAGAGGCAAGGAGTAGGGTGGTATGCCCAGGAACGAGATTTTCAGGTGTATTGCACTACAGATCTCATAATTCTCTGTGAATGTGTATGCATGATATTATTTAATCAGAGGCAAGGAGTAGGGTGCTATGCCCAGGAATGAGATTTTCAGATGTATTGCACTACAGATCTCATAATTCTCTGTTCTCTGAGTTTTTACCTGACTGAGAGACATTTTGCAGATATAGTACCTAAACGTGGTCCACCTGGGTGAAAGGCTGGAACGAGAAAGCTTTGAAGCTTAGCTAAGACCTGCCTAGCTTTCTGTTCAGAAAAAAAAAGTTCTCAGTTGGCAACAAGGGAGGAACACAAAACTTGGGCACAGCTTGGCCTTGCTAAGTTTCAAAGCCTTCTTGCAGGATTTGTAGTCCAAGAAGTCCAGAGGTCCCACCCTGGGCCATGCTTCTTTTAGATTCTGGCCACTTCATTGCTGATATGCAACCTCCAAATGGCTGTCTAGCCATTAGACAAGAAACAGTTCAAACATGTTCCAAAACCCACAGCTATCATTTCCCACAAGAAAGGAGCATCCAGGCAATAATCTGTGTATTAGGGTGTCTTTGCACAGCCACACCCCAGGATGGCTGGTTGTGACATTCTCTGGTGTCTGCAAAACAAATTTTGATGGATATGCATCATATTTATTTATATTTGTTGTATTTATAAAACAGCTCATAAAACAGATTTCTTTAGGCACCTTGTATTCAGTGGTGTGGCAGGCTCAGGATAACCTGAGACTCTGGGATTCTGCCAGCCCCCCTTGACAATGTTGTGAGAGAAAATGATTTTTATTGGCAGAATCATTGAGTAGTTTCATGCTGTTCTGAAACTACTGGAAGTTTTTATTCCAACACTGTAGCTAAGGAAGAGACAGAATCGAAAGCAGGACCACTAAGAAATAAAATTCGGCCAAAGACTTAAGTTTTTCTAATAAATCAGTAACTTAGAGGTAAAGAGTGCAGGTCCTGGCTCCAGGGCCCATCACTACAGTATACCATGTCCTGACTGTGCACTTGAGCAGACTTTGGTGATCTCAAGGCCTATTTCCACACTGTTGTCTTCCGCCGCAGCAGCTTCAAGATAGGGAAGAAAATGTTTGCTGAATTCTGCCAAGTGTACAATCCTATCCATACAGTCCAAGCCATGCCATATTTAGTCAAAACTGAGCAGATGACACTCGTCCTTTTAGTAACAGCAGCTCAAGTGGGTCCTGTAAAAAAAAAATTGCTGCAGGCATTCAGGGCCTCTAATAGGAGTACAGTACTCGTGTTTAGCCACATGGCTCAGTAGTTGCAGAGCCAGAGATTGGAAGTTTGATTCCCTGCTATACCGCCTAGGAGAGGAACCAGCTTATGCGACCTTGGGCAAGCTGCATGGTCCCAGGTCACCAGGAGAAGGGAATGGGAAACCACTTCAGTGTATTCTCTATCTAGAAAACCCTGGACAAGGTTGCCATAAGTCAGAATCCACAGCATGCAATGATTTATCTCAAGGACTACTAGTAAGTAAACTATTAAGTTTACTCCCCTTCCTTCTGGTTTTTGATATGCATTTCTAGATGACATCCAACAAGCTTTCTCCACTGGTGGCCACTAAGCCACCTCAGACCTGACTGTTCACTCATTTGAGGGCTTCAAAAGTGTCTTCAGCTTCAGCATAACTTTTTGAGTTCACCTGATGTCTCCGTCTTGTTTCCCATGGTCCCATGTATTTTCATCTAGTCCTGTTGACATTTAGTCAACTGAATTTGCTTTTAGAGGGAATGCTATGATGGATTAGTATAGTTTTTCTTAACTTCCCTCCTTAGTGAAATTGTGCTTGCTTTTTAGGGACACTTTTTAAAGTTCTCCTCTACATTTGAGTTTTTCCTCTCCTCCCAGTGTATTCAGCATTATAATAGACAGTATGGTTGTTATGTTTAAAGCATCCTGGTGGTAAAACTGATAATTTGCAAAATTCAGTCTTTTCCTCTCGGAGAACTTTCCAAAGAGTTAGCTCTGTTAGACAGTGCGAGGAACCACACCAAAAATCCCACAACAGCATTGGGGCACCTTGAAGACAAACAGATATGTAAACAAATCAATAAAGATTTATTAGTCTTTAAGATGCCTCAAGGCTTTGTGGGTGCCCTCCCCTTTTATAGCTTCTATGTGCGTTTTTGTTATCATTGTACAACCTTTCTTTTCCTTTTCTTTTTTGGCAATCCATTCCTTCTTGTAGTAAATAACAAAGTGTCTGGGAGTCTAGATTTTAGACATCTTGGAACCTGATTTTTATACCGTGTTTTTAAATCTGTTGTTCTCTCTGCTCTGAGCCACCTTGGATCCTCAATGGGAAGAAAGCTGGCATATAAATAATACACAGATGGACAGTAGACAGACAGACAGACAGACAGACAGCAGACAGACAGACAGACAGACAGACAGACAGACAGACAGACAGACATTCACTTAAACACCCTGGAGACATGCTTAACTGCCTAAACTCCCCACTCTTCCATCATTTACCTATGTTCCAGGAACATATTTGGATCACTTATGAACACAAACCCCCAGAGCTCCTGAGAATTAATCGTGGAGAGTGATGCTGCAATCACATTATGTTCCGTTTTAAAGAGTATAATAAAATCCTTCTTTAATAATGGTCTTGCCATCCTTTGCTCTCAGAACAAGGCTAGTGAGGGCTATTTTTGGTTTGGTTTGGTTTTCTTTGTGTTTTTCTTTCTTCCTTGTAGCTGCTCCTGTTTCCAGGCTACTTATAATGTTATTCATGTCTGCTGAATTCTCTCATGTTTGTGTCTGCTAATCATAATAATAAAATGAAAAGTAAATTGGTAAACATGGTTGAAAATTCCAAGTAACCACAGATTTTAATACTATTTAATGCTGATCTTGATAGCCAGATCTAAAGATAGCAGCATCTTAAAGGACGTCTACAAGTCGTCACAGCTCAGCAATTTCTTCTTATGTTTTATTGTACTTTTTTTGGCACAGTGACCTGTGCTATATTTATGTGAATGTTGACGGGAGAGACTGGATGCAGTTGAGCTTGGGGTATAGCTGTTGCTTTATTTCTATTAACACCATTGTTATCATTCAGAAAGATATATTCTCTCTCTTCTTATGAGACAGAAACATAGGCTGAAACCCTGTTGTGCAGTTATACAAACGATATAACTTTTGGAAAAGAATTGCCTCAAGCAATCTCCATAGACGTTGTCTGTTGCTTACATAGATGACTCAGCATGCAACAAATAATGTCTATGGAGATTTCTTAACTTAGAGCAGTGCACCTCTAAATGTTACGTAATTTGTGTAACTGTGCAATCAGATTTCAGCCATAGTCTCATGGCAGTTACCAGGCTTTGCTCTTCCAGAGCCCTTCAGGTATGCTTGGCTATAATTCCTGTCATTTCCAGATCAAAGAGGAGTGGAGGTTGTAGTCCAGCACATTTGAAAGCCACCCAATTGGGGCAAATTGGTATACAATTTAACCTTTTATATTTAAATAGTATTTTCCACTTTTTTTGTAAAGCATGTATGTGGACATAGACCTAGATGTATAAGATACATTTGTCTTTACCTTTATATTTCAGTGTTCTGTCTCTTGCGGGCGAGGACAGAAGTACCGAGACGTTTATTGCTGGTCCAAGGATGGGAAACGTTTAGAAAACAGTCTTTGTAAACAGCTGGCCAAACCAAATGTGCAAAAAAAGTGTAGAGGTGGCAGATGCCCAAAGTGGAAAGCAGGAGACTGGGGACAGGTAAGGCATGACCTCCCAATTATTTCACCAACCGCTGCAACCATTAATGAATACACATACGTATGTTAGGAAGGTCATAGTGGTAGACCACAGGCTCTATATGCAGCAGATATCAGGTTCAGGTAGTATGAGCCTCACTTACTCAAAGGACTCAGATGGAAGGACTGAAATTGACATCTGTAGGGGGACATTGATGCTGGTCAGAGTAGGAAACAGAGCAGCGTGGATCAATGAGCTAATTTGCTGCAAGGCAGCAACATACTCTCAGTTCGCTTATTAGCAGCAGGTTTGTTTGTTTGTTTGTTTATTGCCAATGTGTTAGTGCTGTATTTATGTGACAGTGAAGAGGAATGTTGATTCACCCACCGTGCCTATACAGAACCCATGAAGAAAATGGGAGCCAAGCCTCCTACTTCCACTGGCAACTCATGGACTGAACATGGTGTGCCCCCAAATGCTGGAAGGCAGGGGCCCTCCCTCTCTTAATCCACAAACTGCCCATCCTTCCTACATGTTCAGCACTGTCGTCAAGGCAAAGCACCAAAAAAGTTCATTTTTTTGGACTGTCTCTGCTTGGGAGTTTATTGGAACTGCAGTTGTGCAAAAGTAACCTTTTTTTACATGAATAATGAATGTACAGGAGCTGAATATATATGAGCCCAATTCTCTTTTCCCTCCCTGTAAATTCATTCTGGAACATCAGCATATCCATTGCATCGCAAGTCTTGTATAGTTTTCTAAGGGAGGGCCAACCTCAAGCAAACTATTCTAAATGGGTTGGATGGAGATGACTTAGTCAAAGCCAGTTAGATCTAATGCTGGCTGTAGTATTTTTCTGCTGTGGCATATGAACTTTTATGCTTTAACCCATCCCTATAACTTTCCATGAAACTATTGATTCTTATGTCAANNNATACCCAAAACCAGTACAATTTTCCTGGCACACAGAGCAGAACAGACATAAGCACTGAAGTAAAAGAAGCACACAACAGTAAGAACTCTTTGACTAATTTTGCCATCGTGGATAGTATTAATCATAATTATTACACTATGCTCGTTATATTTATGTTGTTTTAATGTGTTTTAATCTTTGTAAGCCACCCCTTTGTCTAGAGGGGTGGGGTAAAAATTGAATAAATAAAATAAAATAAACTCAAGTAACAGTAACAATAGTGACAGTTTGATGCCTTTTCATTACACCTCATATCTGATGTATAAGGCAGTCATCTCACTCTATCTAATGATAGAGCCCTACCTGCGTATCTCTCTACTCAGAAGCACATCACAATGAGTTCAGTGGGACTTGTTAGGTAAATGAACATATGATTGTTCTAATCTACCCTCTAATTTTCCGCCCTGCTGGACGGGGCTCCTCTCATGCATGCGACTCCGCCCCCTTGTGCACAGGGTTCTGTTGTGAGTGGAACCAAAGGGGCTAAAAACTATCCCTGCACCTGAAGAGGAGGAAAGTTGCATGGATGGAAGCAGAGGTGCACGCAAGCACACGCCTTAGAAGGAACCTTGGATTGTGCTATTAATACCTTCTCCCACACAATTCTCAGTGCTCAAAGCCCCATATGCATTTCATTACAGCACTGGTTTCCAACCTTGGTTCCCCAGATTTAATTGGACTACAACTCCCAGAGATCCTGACCAACACAGCTAGTCATAAAGGCTTCTGGGAGAACATCAAGGGACCCAAGAGTGGGAATCACTGCATTAGAGGGAAGTGAATGTTGGTCCAGCTTCTCAAGTTGAGATATAGGAAATTATATGGGAACATTCTCTGGCTATATCTTTGCTACAGTCAATATTTGAAATACAGTAAAGGTCTATTCTAGGCACGATAGTGTCCTTTTATAAATGCAGTAGAATAAGGGCTTATTGTTGCTAAGCAACAGTAGTTTGCAAGAAGGTGCTGCATGAAGGGCATTGTGAACCAGACAAAATATCTGGGTTTTATAAGTAGAGGTGTAAGCTAGGAGAGGAAGCGCGAGAAAATAATAATGTGGGATCACATAAAGAGAAAGCTAAAACATAGGTAAAGGACAAGCGAAGGGTAATGGGCTAGGCTAGTGCTTGGGAAAGACAGTAACTCAGCAGTATTTGGAAAGTTGTGTGGTACCCAAGAACCTTCAGTATGGTTTTGCTCAATTGGCTTCTTATCATAGAAGTTCTTAGATGCATTAGAAGGGAGGATGAATAACAAATAACTAAAGTGTTTTGGCTCTAACTTCAGTATGGACCTCATACTTTTCAGTCTTCTTCACTGGCTGAATCTGGTCAGAATAAGAAGTCAAGGAATTGCTTTCCTACATTGCTTTCTCCAGGATTCTAAGCCTGCTAATAATATCATGGTCAGAGAACATCCAGACCTTGTTTGAGATGAAGTCCTTACCTTGCCTACCGTCACAACACATAGTGGCAATGTTGATGGGGTTTCAGGGCTAGGTTTGATGCTGTACCTGTCTGTGGTCCTTCTGTCACAAGGGTGATAGCACTGAAATAAGTTCTGTTTTCGCCTCCACGTACTTCCTCGCCCTATAAAGGGCAGCACTGGGTAAGGAAACTTTACAACTGCTGCACCATAGCCGTCGTCATATCCTGAGGAGCAATGAGGGTAAGTGAGACAAGGATGGCTATAGTTGCCTGGCACAGGCCTTCTCGGAATTTGTCTCTTCATGTCAGATGCTGATGCCAGGCCTGGGCTGTTAACCAGTCTGGAAGAGGTTTTGTAACACTGTGTTCCTCATTTTTAATTGAGTGTATTATTTTGTGTCCTCTCAGAAAAATGCTACTAGTTGAAAAATGTTAGCTCTGTGTTATAGACGGGTTGGCAAGATTAGGTTTTGTGAAACTAGGTCTTGTTTCAGAACACTGTGAGATGGGAATTTAACATATAACTTCTGGTCAACATTTTTGGCCATATTTTAGTAAAAGACATGTGTGCTTCTCACTTAAAATCTCGTATCATCCTGAAAACAATTTTTGGAGCTAATGAAAACAATGTGTAATGGTCTGACAGATGTTTGAACTGATATAAAAATGGGCATTCTTAAATTTCTAAATATGGTCCCAGATGATTAGATCCAGTTCAAAAAGAAGCACAAATTATGTGATTTATAGCCTATGATAATCTCTTGTGACTCAACAATTAAAGGCTATGATTACAAAGCTGTGCCTGATGCATATGTTAGCCCCAGTGACGACAGTCAGTGGGGTAAGCATGCTTAACTGAGTACAGGATTGCATCTAATTTGTATGCTAATATTTAGTCATTGCAGGCTGATCAAGCCTAGCCTGATGGATTTGTTGTTCAGATGATGTACTGTATACTGAAAAGTCTGTCACCTTTATATTATGAGTGATAACCAGTTTAAGCCATCTGGTAGTCTGGCCATAAAGCTGTAGCACTGCTTCAATTTTTCCCCTCTTTTATTTACAAAAAATAAATCTAGTGACACCCACTGAGAACTTTTAAAGCTCTGACATCAGGGTTCCAATGGCGGTTCCTTATATAGTCTGTCTAGAAAGCAGTATCATCAATCAAGGCACAGTATAATGGTACATTTCCTCTAGCTTTGTCATAGGAGAACACAAGAAGGTTTGAATAATACTTCAGTGGAATGTCATGGCTTTCTGTGTTGTCAATGTTCTGGAACTCTTTTCTAAGCTATTTAAACATACTCCTCACAGTATTTTCTGAATGATAGTTTAAGAGAGAGTACTTGCTAATGCTTACTCAGTGATCACATTAGCAAGGCTACATTCAAGACCAGTTTAGGTTAGGTTAGGCATCCTTCAGTCTTGAAAGATTATGGTAATGTGCTCTGAATGTAGGACTTGGAACAGCATCTAGTGTGGCTGAGTAGGCCGATTCGAGAATGACAATCCCTTCCACACTGAAGACAAATCCAATCTGTCCCCTGTCCAGCTCCCTGGTTTTGCTGCTTTTGTGACTTCCTCTTTGCCTCGGCCTGCTGGACAAAGGTCTCTTCAAATTGGGTCCCATCAGTGAATAGCTGATCTTCTACAGTGTTACTCACCAGAACCAGAAAATCCTACTACCCTTTGCTATAAACCAAAACTCTTTATCACAACTAACTACTGACCCAAGTTTTCCCCCTGCCATTGTTTTATATGTTACTTCTTTATTGCTTTTCTCAATGTTTTGGACTCAAAGTGATTTGTTAGGTCATCCACTTCAGCCAAATGGTCTCTGGGGAACAGACTTTGCTGTTTAGTTTATTCATATAGCAGGCCTGGACAGTTTTCTGGGGAATGGGGTCAAAAGAGCATGTAACCACCTTCTAACCCATAGAGGCCCATACCCTGCCACCATTGTCCTCCAAAAAAGAGAGTGGAGCTGTAAAGCAGGATGCACACCTTATTTTGGAGCCATATCATGCTTCTGGGTGAATGTATTAGCTTCAAAACAAGAGGTACACTCACTTACGTCTAAGGGTCATGTTTGTTTTAAAGGGAGGATTGCTGAATTTCCATGGTATGGCAGAAAATTTGCTAGTTGGAAAAGTATAATCAAAACAGGTGGCAGATACATGCAGCCCACAAGGCATGTGTTACCTACTTATGATTTATAATCTCTTCTGAAATGATAGTTTCTTCTTTGTATTCTGGGTGTTTTCAGAATGTGTCCATATATTCTCCCACTGTCAAATTATCCAGAGTAAAAGAGTGATGTTACTGACTCTTGTTCATTTTTCCTGAACTATGAAGCAATCCTTCTGCTCTTCCTCTCATAATAACTTCACCTCGCCATGCTCTTTTGGAAAATATTTGGGCACAGAGAAAAGAGTCTTCTCCATAAAGTATGAGAGAAGACAGGCATTCATTTTCATAGACCACATTAGTGATACATGCTAACATCTGTCTCTAAATAGCATCATTGTCTTATTACTAATAGGAATAATCTCTCTAATTTCAGTTTTGCTTTACCCACAAAATAGCTGTTTTATGTATACAAAAATGAATATTTAAACATTACAATGAAGAAATTCTTTTTTTCACAGTTAATCTGAACTGTTTTGTGTACATTTCTCTGACTCCCACCATCCCATGAGGAATGCAGAGTAAAACAGTGTTATTAATCACAACAGAAAACATCACACCATATGGGATGCGTTTTCATCAACCAGAGTGGAAATGAAGCTACACCATCTTCCACTTTTCAAGTTACAAAACAAGCCTTTCATAAATATTTACAACCCAAAAAGAGTGTCCATAGTCAACTTCTTGTTTGGATTTATTTGCTTTACTATACTAAGTTTTCACTTTGGCCCTGTAATTGACAACTTGTAAATATGTGGAAATGATCATAACTATAAATGGCAGGAAAGGATATATATTAAGATATACTTCATCTTTATAGATGGAATACTATTCAATTTTACAAACTTCTTTTTTAATAACTCTTGTATTAGAGAGCTCTGTAAGTAGCACTTGCAAATGTCTACATATTATCCAGGATCTGTTTTTAAAATTATTTATCAATTAAAGAAGGCTTACTGATACTACATTAATAGATTAAAAATTGTAGTGCAATGCTTCTTCCAATATTAGCAAGGTCTATGAAACTCTTACCTTCAGAAATGTTAAATGTCAGAAATAATATCTGTGTTCTAACTAGAAACATTCTTGACTTTTAAATCTTTTCTCCCTACATTTAATTATCCTCTTCTAAATGTACTCAAACTGCTTTCCAGGATGTACTAATGAGCGGTATGCCATATGTTGACACATTCAGTCAGTAATTGTGTGTGCACTTGCAAGGAAGAAAGTTATATTAAATTGTGGGCCTTACTTTGGTGTAAACGTGCAAAGGGTTGGGTTCAATATATTATTTCAACACATCAGTAGCAACACTGCATGCTGTTACCCGAGTTAGACAGGACTAAGAGTGACCGAATGTTGCCGTCTTTTTTATTGTCAACTTTTGTGTAATTATTTTCATGAAGTTCTTTTGTTAAAAAGCCTGGTAATCAAACTGTTATGAGTGTGTTTTTTTGTTTAAAACAAATAGCTCTCTGGTTTGTGAGTAGTTTTCAGTTGTAATAAACTCACAGGAAAAACAATTGAAAAGAGAAGTAAAGCATGCAGATTGTTTAATGTGCACTTACTTAGTTTGAGTAGATGCTGCTGCAAGAGGTGAGGGAGATGGAGATGTCGAACATCCCCTTAACGTGAATGATCTCACTAGATGGTGCCATCATTTTTTTCACAATGACCATTTTTTGTTGGTCTTTTCTAAATGAGCCCATTCTTCCTTACTTTTACAACTGGTGAAAAGTTCCGTGGTATTTGGGAAGGCTTAACCTATGGGCCGTCATTAACCCCACAGCATGAAAAGAATTAGTGTTTATACAAGAAGTTCTGTACATGTAACTGTGCTCTGAACAATTTCCTTGAATCGCATTGCTGGAAATGGGTTTTCTTGCATGTGAAAATATTGTTGCCCCATAATATGGTTTCCCCAAAAGGGAAATTCTGTGTTTTTCAAACTCGAATCATGTTTATCATAATATAGATTGAGGCATCTGCCCTTGTTAGTGGGTTCTAGGCAGCAGCGAAGTGTATTTATTTTCACTTAGGGTTGCTGGAGGTCAGTGATAAATGTGATCTGGTGTTCCTGCTGCCACACCCTCTCTCAGGCAGTGCGATGATTTGTGGTGATGAAACCGATTTTGACTGAGCTAACCTGAAGGAAAGGGGCTTCAACATTCAAAATTACTGCATAAGGATTTGTCATGACAGCATAAGAGTTCCCATGCTTCACTCTTGAGTGAGAAGCAAACTGCACTCCACATGAAAGACTGAGGTAGAAAGCAGTGCCCACAAGCTCAGGCCTGAGGCGTTTCTGAACTTCCTGCCGAGCAGCAGTGGCAGCCCTTTTTCTTAGAACTCCTTTCTTTAAAACATCAAATGAATTTAAAGCCCCTTTCCCTACTGAAGAGAGATTGAAGAATATATAGGCAAGGCAGTTGAAACTTACTTTTTGTACCTTGTCAGTGTTCCGTGTCCTGCGGGAGAGGAGTCCAGCAGAGAAGCGTCTTCTGTCACCTAGGCACTCAGAAAACAGTGAGAGAGACTGAATGCAATCCCTTGAGCAGACCGGCTTCGGAGCAGGAATGCCAAATGGCCGACTGTGCCATCTACCTTTGGAAAGCAGAGGAGTGGCAAGATGTAAGTAGACAAGGAATGTAGTGTGGAGCATAGATTGTATGAAAGATTGATCACAGAGCAAGTGCCCCTGTTATTCTTCACTGTCATATTACTGTGTGGGGAGTTATGAGGTGTAGACAGACAGACAGACAGACAGACAGACTTTATGTACTACCCGCCTAGTGGCAAGCTGCTACTCTAAAGCGGAATGAAGAACTGACTGGTTCAATCTATGGCGCTACCAGGTGACCAGAGTTTATGATACATTTCAAACCTCACTTGCGAAGTTATAAGTTGTTCTTTGTTATATTCTGTGCTGACCTCTCTGGAGGAAAACTGAACTTAAAAGGCCATACATAAATAGCTCCAAATGAGGCAACCACGGCAGTATAAGTAATAGAATTTCCCTGTCCCAGGACTTTCATCTCCTGAACCCCCACTTGTGTTTGTTAATGATCAAACTGAGCTGCAAAAAAGCTTCTTGCCTTTAAACGCTTACCCAGTAGTCAGTGATGTAAGCTAAAAGTATTACAGTAGAGGTAAATGCAGCACATTTCTAATAAAGACAGTGACATAGCTATTGGAACCACTAAGGAGTAAAAAGCCAGAATTTTATCAGGGCAGGATGCGTACGTTATTAGTTCTACTATGTTAACTAAATCCTGAATGATGATGGGTTTGGTTTGGTTTGGCTTGGTTTGGCAAAAGGGTATGCCGCATAAAGTGATAAGAGGGAAAAAAATGTCCTGCTATGAAAATGTCTCTTTATAAAACTGATTATTGTTAGAATGCATTTTCAAATACAATTCATATTTATTTTTAAATTTTATCTCCTCATCAAGTAAACTGTAGTCCTGTCTGTCCTTGAGATGCTTGATAGTAAACCGCCATATGATGCGTGCATTGTTGAATAAGTTCTAAGCATAGGACATGTCTGGAGGGCTTTTGGTAGCCACACTCTTTGGGTGTGCAGTGCCCTGACTGATTGAAAACAATTGCCCTCAAGCCTTAGGCAATTGTGATTTTATTTATTCAATTTTATTGATGTGCTTAGTAAAGCAGGTCTAGAACTGATAAGTCGAATTCCTCAACCATTAGTGGTGGGTTGGCCATTTTCATCTCTCCATCTGTTGGGATTATTGGTCAGTTCACAAGTTAAGGTTTTACTTGTGGAAGGAGAGGAGATTTAGCTCATTGGCTGATCACATGCTTTGCTCCCAGAAGCTCCCAGGTTCAACCCTTAGTGTTTTTAGGTAGGACTAATATCTTTTCCCCCTTCACGGATTGCTGGCTTGTCGTGGCGAAGGGGCTTGAGTAATTCAGAGAAGCTATGGGCTATGCCGTGCAGGGACACCCAAGATGGACAGGTCATAGTGGAGAGTTCTGACTAAACGCAATCCACCTGGACTAAATCCTTACTGATTCAATAAATCTACTCTAGTTGTGACTTACTACTGGATTTCAGCTAGTGAATACTTAATGAAACAGCTACTGAGGAAGAGCGGAGGAGACGTACAAGTATCTCCAGAGCTAATGAAGTGGTTCGGCCAAAGCCAAAAGGATGCTCAGCTGCAGATGCGCCTGGAACTGAAAGAAAAGTCTGATGCTGCTTAGAAAAATGGAGTACCCTTCATAGTCAACTAAAGAGTGGGAAAAGCTGTACTGGGATATAATCTCAAAAATGATAGAATGA